CGGGAAGCCAGTGCAGCAAGATGGTTGGGTTTGGATTGTTGTACTTTTTTTTTTGTTCGTTGCATTTTAAGGAACAAAAAAAAAGCCCAACCCTTCACACCACTTCATTTGCATCTCTCAAGACCGGAAGCCCGGCCACAGCTGACTGCCTCGCACCCCACAATCGGGCGGGTGGGACTGGGAGGGGCACTCCTGTTGGGACCAAAGCCAGGGGGTTCCAGCCCGAGCACAGCCAAAGTGAATGGGTGTCCCCACACCAACCTTGCACCTGTATCTTTGCAGGCTTTAAGCTGAACACTAAGCGGCCCAATTCTATTTAAGATTTCATTCAGGAAAAACACTGCTCTTTCCTTCAGAGAAAAGGAGGAACTTAAAATTGGCTTTAACTTAATGAGCCACTAATGGCTTTTCAGTTGCTAATCTAACTCACTGTTCTGATGTGCAGCTCTCTGTGTAAGGACCTTATCCTATATAATAAAAGCCTAATATGCTAAGTGTCCATTCAACCAAGCAAAGCATAATATGCTAATAATATGCTAAGACTGTTCAACTGCTTGCTATTATGTGCACTGACCACCAGAAGGCAGACGCTCTGACCGGTGGGTTAGCTTGCTGCTGGGGTCCAACCAACCGGGACTGAGCACGATGGGCCAGATACCCCTGGAGCCCTCCCACGGTCCCTTCCCAGCTGGCCAACCTCCCATGTCCCTCCCTGGGCCCTATTGTGCACCAGTGGGGGTCCCACGGCCTGGCCTGCACCCTCTCGAAATCTGGGACCCTTAGGGGGATGTCGGAGAGTCGGTTTCAGCCCAATCCCACAGGCCAGGCCAAGGGAACCCACTGGTGCTTGTGCACCAGGCCTCTAGTCTATAAACATACCAGTAAAAGCCTCAACAACCAGACAACCGAACACCTGGAACACATGTCAACCGACCAGTAGCTATGATGTGCACTGACCACCAGGGGGCAAATGCTTAATGCAGAGCTGCCCCCTGGTGGTCAATTCACTCCCACAGCCAACCTCCCACGGCCCCTCCCCCCTGTCCGCTGGCCCACCAAGTAGGCCACGATTGGGGGGCCAGCCGGCCAATCTCCCAGGGTCCATGCCCCTGGCCAGCCCCCCAATAGGCCTCAATCCCTGGGCAGGCCAAGGGACTCCACCCATGCACGAATTCATGCACCGGGCCTCTAGTCTATTATAAACACATTAAGCACTTAACCAATGAGCAGTTATAAAAAGGATGTAAAGATGAAGGAATGGCTTCTCCAAATTTTATAGTCTGGGGGAAGTGAAACAAGGACAAAAACATCACAGAATATGCCCTGGGGTTGAGGTCACCCAGGTGGGGAAGTCTGGGCTTAGAATTTGGGAGGAAGGTATTTGAGGCCTACCATACATAGAATTTGAGCCTCATGACTAATAAATGTTTTGCTCAAAACCCATAGAAAAGCACCTCCCTACTATTCTGAGATGTCCAGTTCTTCACCATGCCCAAGGTCCCTTAAATCCAATTTTGTCTTTCTAGAACATTGCTATATTTATGTCATTTAATCCTCATAAGAACACTGTGGAGTGGAAAGTATCCTCGTTCTATAGATGAAGAAAGGGATGAAGGGAGCTCTCTGAAGTAAATAAGAGGCAGAGCTAAAGTCAGGTTCCAGGTTTAGGTTCTTTCTATAGCACAGTAACTGTCAGTGCCAATAAAAACTGCACCCCAGTCTCCTATATTGGTATTATTTTTAAAGGCTGATTTTTAGAAACATTTCAAATATCTCACTACTAAAATGATCCAAGGGAGAAAGTTAGGTTATTACCACATAAATCACAATTTATCCTTACTGTAATTGTATAATACATATTTATATAGTTCTACTTAATAAACTTCTGCCAAACTAAATGTAAAACACTGGTTAAACATGCATAGAAACCTCTAGATTGTTTTTTAAAAAATTACTAAGAGAACATTATATATTTAAACTAAGTATAGAAAAATAAGGAAGGAAGACAGGGCTCTCTCTCTTCCCATGATCCTAAAAAAATATCAGTCAGAGAATCTCACATATAGTATAACTAGAAAAGAGAGTAACGGTGGGCCAGATTAAAACATATACACAGCTTACATCCTTCCTGGAAGAGCACAATGTAACTAGATCCTGTTAGAGATAACATTGAGCTATTGTCAAAATTCTGTCACACTGGAACTTCCTTCTATTGACTGGTCTTCACATAAGTAAACTAACAACTAAAGATTGGAATTATTGCATCGGCACAGTAATAAGACTATGGATATAGTCTTATTTCTTTCTGTTGTTTGTGATAAGTATATTTATAGGTAGAACTTCATATATACATAATCTTATTTGTTGCATTGTTTTATTGTTTTTGTGCTGAACCTTGACAAAGATTAAAAAAAAAAAATGCCGCTTTCCTTCCACCTACCAAGACATGTGAGCAGGTGTTCCATTAAAAAACAAGAGGACAGTGCCAATTTGGTGTACACTGAAATATAAATTTTCAGAGTGGGGGACATCTAATAAGTAAGCCTGGAACAATTTTTGTGCAGGAGAAGGGTGCTGGTGAGCCTCCTCAGACACGCTTGAACATTTTATTTTTCTGTCCTTCCCAACAGCTGTCAAAGTCGGGAGTGCAAGCCCCAACATCCCCCAAGGAGGACCCCTAACAATAAAAGGCACTAACATTCCAAATTGTGAAGTTTGGAACCAGTTCTGCATCCATAATCTAGCTCTACCACTTCTCACTAGTTGTTCAAGTTACTTAGCATCTCAAAGCTTTAGTCTTCTGTAAAATGGGGATCACGATTTACTTGATTATGGAAATAATATTTAAAGCCACCAACATTGTGTCTGACACATAGCAGGTGCTTAATAAATGGTTGCTACTGTTATATGAAAGAAGAAACCATGCTGAATTTGATTACAGTTGCCTTGGATTTATAACTTTGAGGCTCCTGTGATAGTCTTAAGCAGAGCTAAACTGCCTATGAAGTAGAGGAAGTAAGCATCATAATTTTTGCTTTTCCATACCCAGCCCAGGATGACCTTTTAAAAAGTATATATCCTTCCACTTCTATCTATACCTCCTTCCCTGTACTTAAGGAGAGAAAAAGGGGAAAACGTCACACTCAAAGAAAGGAAGACTGCAGTTTTTAAAAAAGCTCTAGAATTTTAGAGAAATTTAACATCCAAAATATTCCATTTAAAAGAAAAAATCTATCTGTAAAAATACATTTATCACAAAAGGCAGAAACTTACCTAAAACTTGAGAAATTAAAGGAATTGGTCCCTGGTTTGAAGAAATTCCAGATTCCATATATTTCAGTTATATAGAATTTTGGTTCTGAATATCTAGATTTATCAGATACCTACAAGAAATTGTACAAGTATTGTGCAAGAAATACATTTCATGTTTTTTTTCTTTTTTTAAATTATCTTTAATGTTGAGAGTATTACAGATGTTTTTTAATAAGAACCCAGTTGATTCTGATGTTAAAGCATGTGGTAATAAATGCCTTGTCAAAAATAGGTTTTCCATATAATGCTTTTGTTGTTTATAATGCCATGTTGGTTGTTGCTAGAATGTGGCTGGACCTCCCAGAGCTTGCACTGGATCTAAAGCAGCCCACACCCCTCCCAGTCAAGCAAAAGACACAGACAATTCAGAAGATGCATGAAACTCATTATACAATTTCAGCAGAATTTAGACATTTTGTAAAGGTCGTTGACCTCCATGTTGTGAAATTCAATGGACCTTTTTTCAGTTCTCATTTACCTTGATCTCTTAGCAGCACTCACTGCCTCTTTAAAAGGTCCTCT